TACAGATTCATTTGGATCTATGAGAGATATACTTCAATACTAAACCACATGACATGACCACATGGCAGACAAACAGACATGGGGACTGTGTGATATTATTACCATGGCTTTTTGTGTACTTGTATGTTTTTGCTCCCCCTTTTCTTTCATTTGTTCCTTTCTTCCACAGCGAATAAACAATAACACTGAAAAAGAAAGTTGTTTTAAAAGTTAGCTTAACATCTCTGAATTTTTTGCTTTGAATCTGTTAACACAATAAGAGGTTGTTTTCTTCCTATTCTTATAATGTTTTTAGTAACAATATAGGGCCTGATCCAAAGCCCTATGAAGTCAATGGAAAGATTCACACTGAATTCAATGTTCTTTGAATCAGGCCCATAAAGAATCATTTAATCCTGCAATGCTTACCCAGGCAAACGCCTGCATTTTTAACACAAATTTTCCTCAGTAAGGAGCTCAAGAACTAGCTTCTTAATAACATTAACAAAATTGTAAAGAATAACAATTATCTAAAATGTATGTAACATATGAGTTTATGGAGATAAATGATATGAGTAAACCATGTAAGTCTTATATAACTAAATGTTCTGGCTTGCTTTATTACATTTGAGTTGTAAAATAGCTAAGTAGCTAAGACACTAGCTATAGTATTGACTGTATTTTCCTTAATTTAAAGAGCTTGCATTATGTGAAGGCTTTTTATTGTTTGTTTATAAATAAAAAGTCTAAAATAGCTACAAAGCTGAAAACCATTTTAGATGAGAAAACAAAAGAGAGAGAAATGTTTATACATGTCTTCTATTTATCTAATTTTTCCACTAGGGAAATCTTATTATCTATGTTCATTCAGTGCATGATGAACTAAATCTTACTTTATCCACCTGAAAATGTATACTAAACTCATATGCAACTGTATGACCCGCACCTCATATGTAACTGTATTTAAAATATAAACATGAAACAATATACAATTTAATAAACAATATTACCTATGCGTATGGAACAAAGTAACGTGATGCTGTTTTGTTTGGAAAGTCATTTAAGCAAAGTTATACAGATCACAAGGTGCAGAATTGCCCCACTAGGGAAACCACAAAGAAACTAAACCTAGTTGAATAAAATCAAATAGAATTGTATAAGGTCTATACAACAACCACCACCAGCAGGTGTGATCTAACTGGATCTTAGAGGAGAATTATATACAGAGTGAGATTATTAACTGAGTTGCAAACAAACACCTAATAATTACTTTGAATATGTTTTCTTTGAGACCTTCCCACGGCCCATGTTTGAACTAGTAATGGATTTTTAATTGGGGGAGGGAGGCAATTTTTCTACTCGGGGCTCTGCCTACCGCCTAGGTATTTATTGCTCTACAAATTGTAACTTCCTTCTTGCATTCGACTAACAGCTTCAGTTGTAAATCATTGACTTATGTTAAAAGAAACATAGTGTGTACCCTATGCAGATCATTGTGCTTGGAGTAGGTGAATCAGACCAGTAGTGGACCCAAATTGTAGATCACTCAGTATTAAAACAGCATCACTGCAAAATGGGTGTTTGTAAAATTTATTACCATCTAACAATTTCAGAACTGATTTATTTGCTTTCAGATTTGTTTAATAGTTATGTTTATATATTATTTAAAAAGAATTAATAATATAAAGCAGTGTTAGTCATAATACATCACATATCTATATATATACATATAGTTATATATGTACATATATATATAGTTCAGTAATTCTTCTATGGTAGTGAATTGGAAAGATATATCAGAAATTCTGTTATTAAATTGAAGTACACTACTATTAACAATCTGCCTCAAACACTTTACACAGTGACTTGGTAGGAGAAATATTATCTAAATGACATTTAAATGTAAGAACATTTAGAAATATTTCTCTAACAAGATCAAGCATAAAAAATAACCGACACTTAATGTGTTCCACTTAAAATTACACATTTCAAGTGAATTAATAGCTCATTACAGGTTGTAATTCTAATGTAGTTGCACGCTGTCTCTAGCCTATTCTCTCCCTCCACATTAAGTAACAGACTCAAACTGCTTTCTGATTTGTACTTTGGGGCTACAAGGAGCTTTGGGGCATAATTAAAAATATTTCCAGAAAGAATCTGTAGACCACATCTGACGTTTCACCCTCTGTTAGAATTAGACCACATCAAAGGGACCTTTTTTGTTTTAAAAAATGGTCACCAGACAACTTACAATATACAAGAGTGGGCTTATGTTTTATTGTATAGATGTCTGACTAGAGCAAAACGACTTAAGGTTGCTTGCTATTCAATGTTGCACCAAGTGAGACAAGGTAGCTATAGCCCTTTGATATTTCACTGGAGGTCGTATTCATTTCATTTGAAAGGGAACCATTAATGACAGACCTATAAGTGTTCTCTTCCCTAATAAGTAGAATACACATAGTTTGGGAAGCATGTCTGTGTTAGATGCCCAAGGCGGAAAGATTTGTAGATGATGGTGCTAATTATAAAAATGGTAACCATAATGTGATCAAGATGGAAGCAATTTGAGCAAAAGTCATTAACGTGTTACTCTTCCACCCACTTGTCTTTTGCTTTACTATTGTAGGAGGGAAGAAGTATCTTGTGGGATTTTTTTCCAGAGTACTAATGAAAAACTCCCTAGAAATCTAAAACTGTACATTTTCAATTTCACATCTTTATGGGAATCCAACAATCGTAGAGATCACCCTGAGTTTAGCTATGAAGAGACTTACCTAATATTTCTAAATAATCATTATATTTTTGCCCTTCTATATCTATCTGTTGATATATCTTCAAACTATTTTCCTCATCATCTTAGTACCTAAGTGCTATTTTGTGCAGTAATTTGTGGATGATAAAGGATTCATAAAACTCAATGTACTATTCTCCTTCAGAGAAAGCGTGTTTCAGGGAGGACTTTTGTTTCAGTGTTAGCTGAAGGATTTGGCCGTTACGTAATGATCTTATTTTTTTAAAAAAGTTTAGTGCCTTGTGTGTTTATAGGTTCATATTTTTCATTAGCTATTATATTTTAATCACGTTTTTACTAAATAGACTGTACCTACATAATTGCATGCATGTGGCGTTGCAAAAAAAACAACACTAAAGAATTAATTATACAAACATGTATCAGTTCTCAATCAAACTCTCCTTGTGAGGTTGGGACATAACTTGTCGAAAAAAGACGGAGGATGGTACTGGTGGGGAGGGGTGCTCGTTCGTTCTTTATGTATTTCCCTGTATTCCAGACAACTAAAGGATGAAAAGCCTTTTAGGGTTGGAGGGCTACTAAGTTTTAAGTATATCTAAAAGGGAATAGCTTTCTAGATCACTTTGTCCGCCTGCCATTCCTTGTAGAAAAAGATCGCTTCCCTTTGATTTTTCCGTCCAGTAAAAGCTTATTTTCTTCTATATTGCTTTAAAATGTAAAAAACTTTTCTTTTCCTCCGTAGGAAAGCCTTATTTTATATATATTATTGTAACCGACAGTGAATAAAAAATCATATTGGTCAAGGTCAAATGGTCGAATTTCGACATGGCTCCATTCAAAGACGCATTTGTGTGGCCTTCAGTCACATTAATGCTAATTCTTTCTCAAACACTTCCAGGAAACTTTTAATTATTGACTGTTTCATATGAAAATCTAATAGACGAGCATCTTTTGAGTAGTACACCTGGACAGCATATTTTTTTTATAGAAGTTGGATAACCTTTTGCGTTCCATTTTTCTTTATAGGTAACTCCACTAGAAGAGAAAAAAAGCTGATAAAGATGTGTGAAGCTACATACCAGCAACTGCAGACCTAACTGTTATGCCTGATGTAATTTACCAGACAACAACAAATAATAAGTTAAGGAAAAAAGATTAAAACCAATGTCTTGCAAATATATGCACGAATATATATGCTTTCTCTGTAACTGGGCGCACTTTGCATTAGTTAATTTAGAAATTTGTCAGTCTTAAAAGACACATCCAAATATTGCATATTAGCAACCGTGAATTGATTGATTTACTAATAACTGTTTTCTTTCAGCGTTCAGGACAAAGGGAAGAAAGAAGTTTACGTCACTAAAGACTGACAGTGAAATCCTTTAATGCGTATTTTCCTTTTAGCCACCGGAGCAGCCAGTGTCTGAACCCCTTTTATTATGCTCCCTTTTTTAAATGTGCATTTGTAAAAGCTGCTTCCCCAAGTTGTTTTATTTGGACATCAGTCATCCCAGTTGTCATGTGTTCTGATTTGCGATAGGGAGTAGCCAGGGAGAAGTGACAGACCCCAGGGATGAGCTCCTCACCCTATACTTTTCAGATGCATAATTGTTCTATTTTGGATCTTTCAAAGCAGGGGAAACCAAGGCAGAAGCAGCTCTCTGGCCCTCAGCTGGGTTGCTGCTGCTTCCTCCCCCCTCTCTCTGTGATGCGGTTATCCGCAAGAAGCCACAGTGTGTGTGTCTCTGTGTGTGTGTGTGATGCTGTGTAATTTTATCCAGGCTGCACTCTGGGAGTTCACACAAGACTGATACCTTTGCCTCCCTGCTTTGTATCAATTGGTCGCAGATCAGGCTATTGTTGCAGGAAGCTTCTTTCATTTCTATGCTCCGTCGATCAACGAATTTTCCCCACAGTCTCTTCCTGAAATTCAGTGGGTCTCTCTCTCTCCCTCTCTCTCTCATGCGTGCAGTCTGTCTAGCTGGAGACCCAAGGAGAACTCTGATCACTGCAGCTCCATCTAATCCAAACAGCTGGGACGCCTCGGTGGCCTCTGCCCGTGTCTATTGATTTAAGTAGCTCTAAGACAGATACAAGGGACAGATAGAGGCAGATAAAAACTTGCCAATGCTTCACGATTTGAATCAGTGTGTGCTTTGCAACTTTGGAGGGCTGCTAGCAAGACTTCTTTAATGGGACCCCTGGTGTCTTCTGCGCCAAGCCTTGATCTCCCCAGCAGACTAAGGGCTGCGGCCATCATGCCACAATGGTTATAATTTGGATCTTGCTGCTGAGTTTGTTGCAGGAATCTTGGTCCCAAGGGCTGGCTGCGGAGGTGCCCGAGGTACCTTATTGTGCCAAAGGCCAGACGTGTGACCCAAGGCTGCGCAGAGATGCTGGGGGGCGCGGCGGAGTCTATGAGCATCTCGGGGGAGCACCCAGGCGCAGGAAGCTCTACTGTGCCACTAAGTATCACCTCCAGATCCACTCCAATGGGAAAATCAACGGCAGCCTGGAGAAAAACAGCGTCTTCAGTAAGTACTGTGCATGCCTCTCCCCTGCCCATTTCCTCCTCTATTAGCTTTGTAGGGTGGCTTTCAATTACTATTCGCTCTGACCCGTTGAATTGTCCTTCAGGTCTAACCTTAGAAACCAAGGCGATTAACGAGCCTGGGGCTGTTTAGAGTGAAGTGACAGTGAAACAGACACACTGGGCGCCAGATTCTGACACCCTTGCTCTGAACAGCGTCTTCCTCCCGGAATAGTCCTAATTGAGTTCAATAGGATTGCTTGAGGAATAAGGTGCTACCCAAGGGGTAATAGGGTGGCAGAAGCTGCTCCTTTATTATTCGGATTTTTTTTCCAGATTCAAATTCAGCAAGATTTTGCCCTGATCTGCTTGCAAAGCTGGAATTTCTTTGCAGCACACATTTGTCCCTCCCAGATAACACTCGCAGAAACAACCAGTTCCGAAGCTGCTAATAACCGTAAGAGTAATACACTTCCTCTGTCCAAGAGTTCCTCAGTTTGGATTTTGTTTGATCTTTAATGCTACCAGACAAAGCCCATCTCTCTCCTTCCCCCTGCCCTTTTCATGCAGCGTATTCTCCAAACTCCTCTGCCCACACGCACAGCACAGATGGGAGAAATACAGATGTGGACCCGACCCAGTGAAGTCAATGGCAGAATTATGGCTGAGATCAATGGGAGTAGGATCTGGTCCTCGTTTTTCTCCAGAATCGGCGCACTTAATGACTAGTTAATTTTAAACCAGCTTCCAGAATTACACCCACACCCACCCACTCACGGAATTGCTCAGTGGCTTGTGCAGAAAGCGAGTGAGACAAAGGGAAAGAAATGTACCTCCACCCCCGACTTCCAAGAAGTCAAAACAAAATTGTTTTTTCAAGTTGCCTTTGATTTGGTGATAGGAGGGGGCCTACAGACGAAAGCATCTCTGTGTGTGGGAGGAGGGGGGGTAAATCTGTTCTTTTGCCCCAGTTTCTCCATGTTCTGAACAAGCAGCTCAGGTCTAAGATGGAGCAACTTGTGTCCCAAGCCCCCTTTGATTTGTACACCTTCTTTACCACTCCGCCACACCCCCCAGGCTGAGTCCCTCTGGTTATAGCATTAGCGTAAGAAGCAGCTTTTCTGTGTCTAGAGGGGGGATAAACCAGTGTCGAGACAACCGCTAACTGCACTCAACTGTCACTTTGTTTAACCATCTTTGCTACAGTTGCAGGCATCTCTCCTCACATTTCCTTTCAAAGCTCCCTCACAGCTCCCTGTCACCAAGCTAGGACCAGTGCTAATTCCTGAGGAGTCTTTAGACCGTCCAATGGCTTTCTTCAATCTCAAACTGGGTTTCAGATTAGTTTCCTCCCCCCCCCCCAGGCTGCGTGTTGCCTCCCCGCCCCCAAGCTTCTTGCTTGTCTCCTCCTAGGGGAATGTGAGGTGGTACAGACTAAATGACTTTTACCCCCTTGGAAATGTGCTGGAAATCAGCAGCAATTAAGATGAAACGGGATATGTCAAGAGCAAAGGGCTGTGAGTGAGAGAGTGAAGGAAAGATCGGGATTTTCAATACTTTTCTTAACAGGCCAGTGGAGATATTGCAGCCGGTATGTGGACTCGGTGTCTCATGAAGATGCTTTGGGGAGGAAACAGCTTTCTTCTCACAGCGGAACCTACAATCCCCAGAGATCTGGGACTTTCCTTTCTTCCCACTCCCCAGGATAGGAAGTACAGCATTCTTTCTGTACAAACATCCCACGTTGGGTGTCTGGAGCCCAGGATGCTCCAGGGAAACCTACGCCCTTGCTCTGGTTAGCGCACAGAGATAGGGAGACTCCAAGATCTGGCTCAAGTGCACAGAGGAAAACCACTATTTCCTAGAGAAAACCCCTCTCGTTATCAAAGACTTTTAGGAGACATTCTTCGGAGTTCAGTCAATGGCAAAACGACGGGTGATTCAAAACAGCTGTAGATACAGGCATTACCCTAATTTGTCGAGATTGAGGTCAGACCAAAAATTTAACTCGGCAAAATAGGAAGGCTTAGCACAGTGTGTTTTCTAATTGTCAAAAGACACTTCTGGGGTTACATCCGGCTTCTATATAGTTACAGAGAGTACTGAGCTTTGAAACCAGAATGGCTGAACTGGGAGCTTCCAAAAGCAAGATATAAATTTGCACATGTATCACAACAACTCCTACTACAGCATCTTCCCTTACACGAGTTCTATGATAGTTTGCATCTAGCATCCTTTGGCGGGATGTAAACCCTTTGGGATGCTGTCTGGGCTTCCCCCCCCCCCTACTCTTGTCTAGTGCATTAGACACGATCTTCTAAGGGCTGAAATATCTCCTCCCTTATTGTCATACTGTCCTTGTTTCAAGCACTACATCAACTTTCTAAATGACAAGTTCCTTTCATAATTATATACATGGCTCTAAGATGCAGCCGTCTTACTCCATTTTACTCTCTGGAGACCCAAGAAAGAGTATTGTCCTGAAGTGGGTAGCTTTGTGACTGGTTTCAATAAGTCAAGCGCTCTGGTGTCCCTCAGAAAAGCATTAAAGTGGATTTAAACTTTTTTATATATGTACATATAGGATTAGGTGAACCTGTAGTTCAGTGTCAGATCTTTCCTTTTTAAAATAGTTAAATCTCAATCAAACAAGTAGGGATTTACTGTCAGTTTCCAACGATTCCCATCTCATTAATTTTTTTTCTGTATTGTCTAATTATGTTAGTCTTTTTTATGTACATGACTGCAGTATGACTTCTTGAGTGTATAAGTTATAAGGGCGAACTCATATTCTGGAGGTAAGTAGCTATTCAGATGTATTTCAGAAAATTACATATGAAGGGGAAAACCCATCTCTCCTCTGTTTCTGTTTCTAGGTATTCTAGAGATAACTGCAGTTGATGTTGGAGTCGTTGCCATCAAAGGGTTGTTCTCTGGCAGCTACCTGGCCATGAACAAAAGGGGCAGACTTTATGCTTCAGTAAGTTTTATTGTAAGACCTTAACTATTGTATTGAAATGTAAGCATGTTCTATTTGGGTGTCAGTAATTTTCATGGGGTGGGGGGGAGCACTATTATCTTGAGTGCACCAGGTTTATCTGCTATGAATAAATGCTTATAGAAAAAAGATTAAATGCTGTAGCAGAAAGGTGCTATCAAAGTGCTAAGTATTCTAACTTTTCTTGTTACCTGTACAGCCAAAGAGACAAAAATAATTTATTTGGCAAAGGCTAAGATTCTCTTGACAAGATTTGGGGTTATACAGAATTAAGCATGAAAAATACACCAGAAACAAGCCTCTGAAATATGATATTAATATCAATATCTTTTCACAATGGCCCAAATTAATAGATGAAATGTATCTTTGACACCAGGAGTAGGTGTAAATGTCAGATGGAAGGGAGTCAATAACTAGAAAATCCTTCATTGATGTCAATGGGAGTTTCTCTTACAGAGTACAAAATTGGGCCTCAAGCAAATGTAAGAGAACTCAAGCTGGTGTCAGAAGACAGAGATAGAGCAGGAAAAGCAACTACAAAAAGTCATAAGAAGGTGTAAGTTATATGTTTCAGAGAACCATTCAGATTGAAGTGTACACACACCTCCTTAACCTCAAAACAGATACACCTCTACCCCGATATAACGCTGTCCTCGGGAGCCAAAAAAATCTTACCGCGTTATAGGTGAAACTGCGTTATATTGAACTTGCTTTGATCCACCGGAGTGCGCAGCCCCGTCCCCCCGGACCACTGCTTTACCGCGTTATATCCGAATTTGTGTTATATCAGGTCGCCTTATATCAGGGTAGAGGTGTATTAAGGAAGTTTAAAGGCAACTGTTACTTAGGAATTAGTTCATTGTAATAGTCCACAGGTGTATTGCATCTACCTATTAATATGTAGTTCATCATCAAGATACATAGTTTTGTCTCTTTAATAGTTTCAAAATGTCCATAGTAGATAAGCACCCAGGAAATTAGAATGATATTTTCAGTGCACAGACATATGGTTATAGGTCCAGAAATGCAAGCAAACTAATACTTTCATCTTGGCTGGACAAATTGTAATGATATGCAGCGTGGGGCATGGGTCACTTGCTGGAGGATTCTCTGCACCTTGAGGTCTTTAAATCACGATTTGAGGATTTCAGTAACTCAGACATAGGTTAGGGGTTTGTTACAGGAGTGGGTGGGTGAGATTCTGTGGCCTGCGTTGTGCAGGAGGTCAGAGTAGATGATCATAATGGTCCCTTCTGACCTTAAAGTCTACGAGTCTATATGCCTGAGTATTTATCACCACTGTCCATCTTCAAAGTGATTTTCAGGCATTAATTAATAAATCCTCATAAGTCTTTGAGACAAATGTTTTGTCCCCATTTTCCAGATGGGGAAATTGAACTCAAGGGATTAGGCAATTTGCCCAAATCCCTAATGAGTTAGTGACAATGCTGGGATTAGAATTCAGAAGGTCTGTGTTCCCAGTTCCATGTTCAAAGTTGGAACACAGACCTTCTGAACCTCTACAGCATTCTTATTATTATTATTAAATTGTATTGCGGTAGCACCTTGAAGTCACCAACCAAGTATCAGGGTCCCACTGTGATGGATGTCATACACTCACGCACATAACAAATAGAGCACATGATCCAAGTATAAGAAAAGAGACAATAGGTGGATACAACAAACAGATCTAGGGGAGCGCAAGGTAATAGCGAGGTAGTTATGATTAGTGACAAATCAATAAAGATCATCTACAGAGGAAAAAATCCATAGATATACACATATAGCAATTTAAAAAGTAATATAGTTCGAATTATTGTCCTTTTCTATTTCAGGTTAGTTTGTGAATGTTTGTTCACATATTAGTTTGTGAATTGCTAGATATTCTGATACTGTGGGACCTTGTTAATAGAGAGATGCTGTTATTCTGTTCTGAATCCCTCTTATACCATCCTTCTCTCATTCTAATCTCGGGTTTCCTCTTCTATATGCTGCAGTCCTTTGTTTAATAACCAGCTGACCCCTCTGTAAGTCCTGTTCCTGCACTGGTGAGGGTGCTGAACTATTGTTCGTGCTGCCTTTCTGGAGCTGAGGTTGTTGTGTTTGCTTTACAGGAAACTTACAATGCAGAATGTGAGTTCGTGGAAAGGATTCATGAGTTGGGCTATAACACTTACGCATCTCGCCTATACCGGACAGTGCCCAATGGAGCCAACACCAAACGCAAAGCCAGTGCCGAGAGACTCTGGTATGTCTCCATCAATGGGAAAGGCCGACCCAGAAGGGGCTTTAAAACCCGCAGGACACAGAAATCCTCTCTCTTTCTGCCCAGGGTACTGGATAACAAAGATCATGAAATGGTCCGTCTATTTCACACAAATGTTAAATACAGAGAGAGTCTACTGAAGCCTCTGAGTAAGAATAAAAGAAGAAGGAGAGGACACCAATGGATTCCTTGGGGGGATTGGGGTGGGGACTGAAAGCAAAGAAGAGTGTTCGAAGTGCAACTAGAAAACAGACAGCTGTGACTGTATGACATATCAGCAGGGACATTCTTGATACAATGTATATATAATTGGATGTCACATCAAACCTATTTACTTTTAGATATTTTAGAATTATTGCCTGTGCTAAAAACAAGTAACATAAATCGAGGCACATTCAAATGTAAATTAGATGGATGTAATAATTTTGTCAATGGTCTTTAATATTTTTCTTTTCCTTAATTTAATTTTTTTCTAACTTACTTTAGAGTGTTCTCCCAATGGGGTATTCCCCCAGTGAACCATTCTCTCCTATGAACATTTTACACTTGTTACCTGTTTCTTGAAAGAAAGCATAGCACTTTTATAATCCTTTCAGTGGTTTCCCAGTACAGGACTACATTCAAGTTATAATGGAGTACAGAAATCTCAGAACTGGTTTATTTTGTAAGTTACATGTATTTATTTTTACCTTTGTTTTGACAAAGTCAGTATCATTCATTTTCTCTCCTCTGAAATTAACTTAACCTGAAATTGTAAGGTTACTTTGAATTTAAACATTTCAACAGTGCTACACATTGTTATAGTGTTCTAGAATTTGTTTAATTAAAACATGAGGTCATCTGATCTTGTTATTTAATGGTTTTCTATGAAGCCTGATAAAGGATATAAGCTTTACTAATATAAAGTGTTGGAAGACCATCTAAACCAGTTTTTTATACATTGAATCTTATTCATTGCTTTAAGACTAGAATATGATGTTAAAGTTGCGTCCAAATTTCCATTAGAAACCTCTCTTATCAGGAAATGGGAACTCAGGGTCTGCTACTGCTATCCCAAACTCCTACTGAAGTCAGTAACTTGACTGGGAGTTGTACCTTGGGAAAATTAGCCTTCAGGAGCGGACCCTTGATCAAACATTTTCTTTAGGCTGTTTTCTATATAAAAATCTTAGTTCTGGGAATTAATATATTTTAACCAGTACAGAAAAAAAATCAGTTTGGCTATGCAAAAAGAGATTTAAGATGACTTTTCTATTATTACTATTATTTTTTAAAAATGTTTGTATTTTGAATAGAGATGGATCCAAGATGCAAAGTTCAAATCCAGATCTGGATCAGTGATCTTTGGTTCAATCCCTTATAGAAATAGGGTCACTTGCGATTTCTGATTTGAATCCGGAAGTGAACTTTTGCAAAGTTAGTGTGTTTGTGTCATGTTTTATTCTGAATTTATATCTAGTTTTGAAAAGTAGAACTTAGCATTCAGGTAATATTATCATATTGACAGAGCAATATTCTGATTTAGAAGTGTCTGGTATGCATGGACAGTAATCTTATCAATCAGTATGTTGAAATTATGTTAGCATGAGAGTCAAGGTGATCCGCACCTTGGCAAATCAAGCCCACATACAGCACAGCTGAGTGCAAAAGAGACTGCAATGGATTCAGTACAGCCAGTAAAATGGATTCAGGCATTGTTTTCTTTGAAAGTTGTTCAAACATGGGTTTAAACATTGTTCAAACTTAGATCCTAAGCCTCTTCCCATTGAAGTTGATGGGAGTTTTGATTTCATTGAGAGTTGTGGATACTTTGAAGGTTTGGCCCATTAATATCAGTAGAGACACCAAAGCATTTATTTAACAAATTGGACTGTTCAGTAAATAAATATTAATAGATTAATCATTATTAATTAATTTTATTATATACTAATTAGGTACTAACTCAGTTCTAAATCATATTGCCACAAAGCACAGAGGTCCTATTTTGGTCTATCTATTTAATAAGACATTTAAGGACAATTAATGCAAAACTGCCATTGTATCAATAAGAGATTTTCATGAGGGAGGGTGGGTATTTGGCCCATAAATTGAGCACAGAGTATGTTCTCAATCCAACCTCCATACCTATATATGTGAGCTCATAATGGCACCTTTGTAAGCTTTCATTCCCTTGTCCCATCTCTTCCACACTTGTCTGCACCCCCACTTTATTATACTCACAAAGAAGAAAAGCTATATCTGAATAAGAAAGATGGCCAATCAAAACCTTATTTGATCTCTGGGCTTACATTATATCAAAAACATTTCAAAAACACATACACATTTAAAATGATGCATCTTATAACATAGGGAATACAGGAGCTGGTTAAAAAAGGATGAAAATTTGTGAATTGTTTTTCAACCCCTTTTAAAAATAAGGGGGTGTTTTCTTTACGAGTGCTGAAGAATACAGACATCAGGCCATATCATGTCCTCCTGCATAAAGAGCCACCGAAAGACCCAAGTTAAACAGAAAATGTATTGGTCTTGAGAATGCGGAGTTCCTTCATTGTGTTCCTCACTGGCGGAGAACCCTGTGGAGGGACAGAGGGCATAGTCTTCCAACTCCATGAAGGGCCCAAAGAGCCACAGGAAAATGTTACAGATTTCAAGGCATCTTTGGAGGGTTGGCTGCATCTGTGTAGAAGGCCAGACCTTCCCTTGTCTCCTAGACTCCGATGGCAACATGACTTCCTTAGATGCTGTGTTGGCCTTGAAATGTTACCTATACCTCAGCCACAAAGTGCCCCAGCAAGGCATTGAGTGGTAACACATAGGAATTAGTGATGAGAAGACAAGACGTTTGTCTGGGCAGACAAGAGGTGGAACATGAGCAGCTTTCACAGCCCTGAGACTCTTGAACATCAGGAGTGATGTGAAGGAAAGGAAAAGTTGTGCTAAATTAGGAAAGGATCGTGAGGGAGAGGCAGTGCTTAATTTGGTGCTAGGGCTCAAGCAATTTTTTTACATTCATAACTGAGGCAGCAAGCCCCGAGGTGCCAGGGCTAGGAACTGCCAAGCTTAGGGGTGCCAATGCTCAGCCCCAGCAAGCCCTGGCACAAACTAAGCACTGGGGAGGTGTATGGTGTGGTTGTGGCTTGGCTTGCTTGAGGCTGCCATGTGGAGTAAGGTAAGAAGGTAGTGGATAGTGAGGAAGGATGGAGATTGCTCCTCTCTGCTGCACTTAGCAGATAATAAAGACTGATAATCAGGCTCACAAAGTGAAACGCAACTGGAAATGTTCATTTTGGAGTAATATACATGTTATGGTGGGGAAAATATGGTGGGAAGAACAACATTTTCTAACCTATGAAATGATACTAGCTAGATTTTTTTTTTTTTTACACATATCACAGAAATTTAAGCAATTTTAATTGCAAAAAGCAATTCTTACTTGAATTTGATGCGGTTATATCTATTTGGGGCCAAATTTTACTCTTAATTACATGTGTGCAATCCTCAGTTAAGTCAGTGGGCAGAATACACATTTAAAGAATTCACCCTATTGGAGCTAATTGAATTGATACCATAAACTTCAGCATTTCAACGAAAATTTCTTTGTGTTATTACAGCCATCTAATTCCTGAGGGCAACAGGAGTCTTTCCATTATATCCAATGGAACTGGATCATTCCTTGTGAGAACAGCCTTGTAACAATGCTCTAGACTACCCAGGGTTCAGGGGACAACAGGGTTTTCATAAGCGGATGTAATAGGAAGTAAAGGAGGATACCAGAGTAAAATTGTTAATTTTCTTACAATAACAAAGCCCCCTGGCTTTTGGATATTGGGCCAGTGGAATTGCTACCAATTTCCACGTGTCACTGAGATCAGAACCTTGCCTATCACTTTGAGGACATTCTATACAAGACCATTCATTTCAGTGGGGCAAAGCAGAAAGACAAGCAGAGAGAATGAGACAACAGACCTACTAACTTCCTAGAGAAACATGTACTCATGAAATTTTGTTGTGCCAAAAGAATGTGAGCATAACAAAACTGAATAGCTTCAGTAAGCGTGCAATTTCTTCTTTAATGCCACGTATCTACTTCCTTTTCTATTATGAAAGCTTTCTGTATTTTCACTGGTAAAATGCTTTCCATATAGAAAAAAAGTATTGAACCGAGGCTTTTTTTTTTAAGCTATTTTAAATAGGCCTTTGAAGCTTTCAGCAGAGCTCAAGTTCAGATGTCTCCTGTTTCCTTTCGGAAGGTTTGAAGGATTTGGGAAGGTGAACAAGCAGATCTATAATTAAAGAACAGTTGATGGTAACCGTCCCTCTTTGTTAGCATTCTCAGGCCACCTCCAAATTTAGACAGTTAAAGAAAACTCTGTCCCATTTTAGTTTTGCAATAGTTTAGATGCCACTGTTGCATAGCAGAAGAGGTGCCTTTCTGAAACCCAAAGAATATCTCCTTTCTGGATGCAGACCACAAAAAGAAATGCAATGATATTCATAATCTTCCCTTTATAAAAATACTGCAGTACTAATCCTAAACACAGCACTATTACTGTTGTAATCTGTTCTCTTTTGGACCAAGGGACAGTGGTTTATTTGTGAAATTCCTACAAATGGGGTGGGGGGAATTACGAATAAATCTTGATGCTGCATGTAGAGGTAAATAGTGAGCTCTAATATACTTTTCAAATCATATAAAACATATATAATTGGATGGAAAAAATAAATGTCCTGGAGAGGAAGTTACTGATCATTTAGAGCAAGGGAAAAGATCATGTGTCTGTGAAAGAGTTAATTTCCCTAGTTTACCCCCTACAGATCAGTCACTGGTCAGGAAAAGGCAAATTAGAGGAGTGCCTAATATTTCAAAGGGGAATAAACATGAATATAGGGAATTGTTTCTCTAAATCTATGTTTTAATGCTCAATTATTTAATGCAATTGTAAGTGCAGAACACAGGCCAGCAACCCAGCTAAATCTCTTAATCTGAAATGAGGAGAGTGTAATTATGTGGTGCTGGATGAATTCAAAGAAACTTTGAGATAGACTGTTTTAAAAGAAGCAGTCACCAGAGAGATGAATGAGTCGCCCTGCCTTTCAATAGAGGACTCCGGAGAGCTGCATCTATAGTGCATACAAACTGGAACAGACCCCCTCAAAGCATGGTGGCACTGGGATTGTATACCCCTCAGAAAATCTGATTGTAAAGGTCCTCAT